CTCATGCTAAGGGCTGGACTCTGGTGGAGAACCTCACTGTTTGTGTGTGGGAGAGACCTACTCATGCTAAGGGCTGTACTTTGGTGGAGAACCTCATCCTATGTGTGTTTGATGGACTTACTTATGCTAAGGGCTGGACTCTGGTGGAGAGCCTTATCCTTGTGCGTGTGATGGACCTACTCATTCGAAGGGCTTTTATTTGGGGCACTTAGGTACCAGAACTCTGTGCATGAGTAGAGTATGTATGAGTGGACTGTAAACTATCATTTTAAAAGGAATGAAGAAAATAAATGAGTCTTAGAGATACCTGTGCACTCAGCTCCAACCCACCCAGCCAGCGGACTGTCACCAACAGACCTAGATCCTGTCCTTTACGACAGATAGCTACATGATCTGAAAGACCACCCCGGAGGAACTGGCTCTGCATCACGGAGTGTATGGAGAAGTTGGAGATGACCCCTGCAGAGAACATTGTGGTTAGGCAAACTCAGACCTCCACAGGAGGGTGCGGCAGGAGGTGGGGCAGTGTGTGGTGCCACTGTGAAGCCCCCCAGCTGCCCAGGGAGACTATTTAATCAGCTCTGCAACAGCACCTTGCTTCACCTTCTCTCTCTGTACTTTGGTGTCTCTCTTCTGCCCGTGGCCTCTCCCTGCAGCATTCTCTGTCCTTTTGTCATTGAGCACAGCCCCACAGCCCCCTCCCCTCAATTCGTCTAGGCATTTGTTAAAACTGTGACCCTTCTTTCTCCTGAGGGCAGCACCAGCGATGGCGCTGGCTCGTGTGTTTCCACTCCGAGGGTGATACTTATTCATCATGGAGCTCCCTGGGGGACCGCGTCTCTGAGACAGTGGGGTGCTCTTGGTCCCACCTCCTAAGTTCTCTGTACCACTGAGCCCCTCACGCTTGCATTTCCCACCTGCTGCCTCATGACCCTTTGGACCAGCAGAAGCAAGCACTGGGTGTGGGTGCCTCAGAGAAGGGTGCAGTGCTTGACCTTGGAGTGGCCATGCTTGACCTCTGGGCCTCCTGCTGTGTCCTGGGTGGACTTCCTGGAGAACAAGACACCACCTCCTATGCTGCCTCTGGGCCTCCAGGCTTCCTGTCACTCTGACTGCTAGGGAAGGTGACTGCCTCCCTGGGACGGGTCCAGGGAAGACACCTGCTCAGAGCATGTGTGGCGCAGGAGCCCAGGAGGTGGCTGGACAGTGCAGTTGCCCCCTGAGGAGGTGCAGGGCATGGATGAAATCTGCTGGGGCCCCATGAGGAGAGACCCCAGTATGGCCAGGTTCTCCTGTGAACTGACCAAAGGACGGAGTGCATGTTAAAGAACTGGCAATTCTGAGATTGTGCCACTGACACATCCAAAATTTGCAGAGCTGATATCCCAGTTCCAGCCGGAAGGCCAGTGGTTGCTGCAGAACCAGGCTCAGCCCCCATCAGGGCCCAGGGGCAACAGGCAGGAGAAAGGCCTCTGATGCACGAGGGCCAGTGTTTTGTTCTGGGCAGGGCTTCAGCTGATCAGACAAGGTCCATGCACCTTTAGGAAGGCCATCCATTACTCTGTCTCCGGATTTAATGCAAATCTCATCCAGAGACACTCACACACTCCAGCTGCAGTTTGACCTAGTGTCTGGCCACTGGACACGGCTCCACCATCGATCGGCCCTGCAGAGACCTGGCCTGCCTCGAGCCTTGGATGGCAGAGGGGCCTGGCCTGCTGCTCCTCCACAGCCTCCCATCTCCTGGGGATGCTGCTGAGTGGCCAAGCCCACGGGACTGTCAGCTGGGAAGGGAGCCTGAGTGGACAGGGTGTGGGTAAGAGGAGGGAGAGGTCTGGGAGGTGAAGGGTGGGCGCCCAAGGATAGCCACTTGTTTTCCCGTGCACAGGCCCCGTGAAGCTGCCCCATGAGGCCGCCATGTGTCAGCCACACAGCACCAGTGTGGAAATCACAGGGTTGTTCCCAAGGCTCTGCCATGGGCCACAGGTAGTCAGCAGTGACCTGGTCCACGTGGGTCTGTTCAAGGACTTCTTATTTCACACGTCCTGCAGACTGCTGAGTCCCGAACTCAGCCCCTACGGGCAGTAACCCAGCTGAACCAGGCTCCTGGACACACCTTCTCCAGAGGCACCTGGGGCCTTCTTGTGCTTGGTCTCCAAGACGGAGCACAAACCCGGAAATGGGTGCTTGTGGCTCATGGAGAAGAGGCGCCTGCACTGTGGGATGGGAGCGCTGGGAGCACCCACTGCTCAGGGCGGGGGACATCCACGGGCCTCCTCAGGCTGTCACCGTCCTGCGCGGGTCATGGTGGCCGACACATGCCCAGGTGTGGGTTTTAGCCAGTAGTGAATTGTTAATACAGAATCTGCAAGGGAGTGGGACATGAGAGGGCGGCCCTAGTGCAGACCCCACAGGGCACACGGCGGGAAGGCAGGGCGAGCGCAGACCCCACATGGTGGCGGGAAGGCAGGCTGAGCTCGCCCACCTTTGGGACATGGATCTGGCCCCAGATCTGCTGTCTAGAGTGGGTCCTCACATGAAGACCCAGGCCCAGCTGTGTGAGAGCCTCCTAGGTCTCTGCAATGTACTCTGCAGCTCCAGCTGGCCAGGTAGGAGGGGCAAGACGGCAGAGAGCACACTGGTGCACCAGGGGGCTGTGCACCCTGGCCACTGGGCGATGGCCGTTCCCTAGTCAGGACTCTTCCCAGTGGTCTCTGTCTGTCCAGCCAGGCCCAGTGTCCTCTGACTTTGTGCTTCCTCCTTTGAGTCCTGCACCTGCTGGGTCCCTGGAAGGACAGGACTCTGTCCCTAGCCCAGGGAGAGGCAGCCTCCCTGCAGCCTGCCCCCTACCACCTGCAGCTCTCTAGGCTGACCCTGCTCCGTGGCAGCCTGAGCTCTTGGGACTCGCTGGACCCAGTGGATTCTGCCTGCAGCTGGAGAATCCTGAGGCCACGTAGGTGGAGTGGAGCAGAGAGGGGGAAGGAACGGCTCTTGCAGGGAGCTGAGCAGGTGGCCCCAGTGGATCAGCACCAGGGTCTGCCCAGTGATGGGTGCCACCTGTCGGGCAGAATGAAGCCTGGGCTCCACATCCCTGAGGACAGGAGCTGCTGCTCAGCCGCCCCTGCAGCAGGGCGCAGGCTGTGGGGAGGGATGCCCTGGCTCTGAGAGCACCTGCCTCAGAGCTGGCCAGGGACACCCAGGGGAAGGCGGGCAGACGGGAGGCTCCCCAGGCCACTGGGGCCTGCCGCCCGTCCCTGATGAAGGGCCAGCAGCTCCAGACAGCTGGACAGGGAAACCGGGAGACAGGAGGGCAGGCTGGGGCCCCTGGGTAGGCAGACTGTCATCGGAGGCCTGGAGTGGGCACCGTGGGGCCACACTGGAGCTGATGCTTGGGTCTGGGCTTTTTTGATAACAGGAGTCATTACATTGTGTCAGAGGAAGAAGGAGACGTCAGACCTCCAGATCTGCTTTAGCACAATTTCTCCAAGTGCTCCACTGACTGACCAAGTTCCCTGGGAGATGGACACCCGGAGGCCTTTGCCCGCGGCGACACCGTGCCTCTGGAGCGTGCCGCCAGGGCCTGTGCAAGTCTCATGGAGAGCACCACACGGCTGCGCCCCAGGACTGACAGCAGCAGGGCTCGGAGCTGTGAGCCCCGGGAGACCAGGCACCACCCAAACAGGAATCACCCGACCCCTGCACGTGCCTGACCAGCCGCCGTCTTAGGAGAAAGCAGTCGTACCTGCCTGAACTGTCAGCGCTGTCCACAGATGGCTACCCTTCCGCAAAGTGCTGTGCTTTCCCAGAACTGCTGGCCTGTGCACTCTGGAAAGCTCACCGTGTCTTGCTTTCCCTTGACTCCAGCAGCTCAGCCCTGACCCTTCTGATCTCCTTGCCCACTCCCAGGGTGGCCACGGGCTTATGCGCTGGGCCTCACTATTTTCCTGTTTGTTTGAGGTCTCTTACTCTGTCCACAGACATTGGTGACCCTGTCCCAGCAGGCACACCAGGGGCAGCCTGTGGCCCCTCCCCGTAGGCCACCTGGAGCCTGGGGCAAGGCAGCAGTCCACCCCACCTAGTGCCCAGGGAGCCTGGCGCCCAAGCCAGGTGCCCCCACATCTGTAACCCAGAGGCCCTTACAGACTGTCCCCCACACCACCAGCGCTCACTCTCTGTGTGGACTCGGGCAGACGTGCAAACCGGGTCCCACTGGTGTGAAACTCAGAGCCGAGCATCAGGGGTCATGTCCTCTGCCACTGGAGGCAAAATGAGGAAGAACACAGAGACTCATGGCCAGACTCTCATCCGAGCAGCTGAGCAGCTCACAGGCGGCGCTCTCTGCCCTCACACTCTGGTCCCCACGGCAGGCGCTGTGTCTGGAGAGGAGCCCGTGTTACCCCCAGGGGTCTCAGGTTCCTGGTCTCGGGGGCAAGCTGCGGGCTTACAGCGAGAACCAGAACTGAGGGCAGTCTGGTCTGAGGAGCAGGGGCGGATCCTGTAGGAAAGTGCTGCTGGTTCTTTCACAGTGTGGGGCGTGCCTCCTCTTTCTGTCTCCTCTCCACCCACGCTCTGCTCATCCTCCTCATGGGTACCCTGGTCCGCGAGTCTGCTTTACCTGCCGGTTGGCCCTGCTCAGCTGGGCAGCTGACCTGGCAGGGCCCTCTCTGGCTCTTCCTGTCTGGGTCTGCCCCTGGCCCATCTCTAGCTCCCTGGGGGTCAGGAGCACCGCCAAGCTGGCTGGCTACAACTGGTGGGGACGCAGGCTCCCTGGCAGTCCCTGCCGCTGTCCGGCTGTTCAGGTCAGCAGTGACTAGGGGGTGTGGGTGCTGTGGCTGTCTGGGGGAGGTGGCGCTGTCCCGAGGCCTGGGCCTGCCTTCCACCCGTGTCTTACAGCACGCCCCGATCCGTACCTCAGTCCTGACCCGCGAGATTCATGATCCCGAGGAGCTTTTGGAAAGTCCTTGAGTGTCCTCTGTGTCCCGCGGGGTCCTGCTCCAGGCCAGGCCTTTCATCCGAGGCCTCCCTGCTCTCCCTTTAACCCCCGTTTCCTCGTTTGAAAGTACCCCCTGCCCGAGAGCAGAGTCACGTTGACATCAGAGAAGGGCCGGGTTCGCGGTGAGCCAAGACCACACAAACGCTACGTCTCCGCTGCTGCGCCCCAGCGCCCCTCACTCCAGCGCACCCCGCATTGTCTGCACACTACTCCGTTGGGCCCGCTGACTTTTCATCGTGGAAACGTCTCCCGTGTTCTCGGGATAGCCAGTTGCCCCACACGTCACAGTTTAGCAGAGGCATGCCCAGGGCACGGGCTACCTCCCTGTCTGCAGGCGGGGTCACTCTGCAATGGGCCACGGCCCTCACTGAGCATGGTGGAGTGGTCAGTGTGGCTGGCTCCTGAGGGGCCCAGTGGGACCCAACGGAGGGCAAGTTTTATTCCCAGGACCAGCCTGTGCCCAGGGTCCTGTGAGGCCCCAGGCTGCTCCCCGAGGAGTGGACCCACCCATCTTGCTGCCCACTCCAGGGCAGGGTTAGCCGAGTGTGTTGCTGGGCAGAGTGGGGGGAAGGGGCGGCTCTTCACCAGGCCTTTGCGATACAAGTCCACCCTCTCACCTGAGCGGCTTGGGTCAGACTGTGTCCAGTGGGGGCTCTTCGTGCACCAGGAGGGTGGAACCCAGGCCTGCTAATCCACCTCAGTGGGGGCGACGGAGCGACCCGTGCTGGACATTACACTCCATTGTTTTATAATCAAGGATGAACCTTTGCAGACACTTTCCCAGGAACAGCTGTCAAGTGGACATTTTGCACGGCTTTGGCAGTGTCTGCCGTCCTGTGTCCCTGGTTGTCACAGAGCTCCTGAGAGGACTCTCCCTGGAGTGGTCAGCTTCTTTCCCAGACAGCGGCCCCTCAGGATCCCTCTTCACCTTCAAGGCTGGGTGGGCACCTTGGACAGCTGCTGCGACGGTTTCTGCCAGCAACTTGCAGCTGCTTGACAGCTGGAGGCCAGCACCACCACCCTTGCCAGTAGCCTCAGCCCCTCTTGTGACGCCCAGGGGTCCCTGTGGCCAGCACCTTCCTCTTCCTGTGAGTCAGTGCCCCCCGGGGTCCTGATCCCACATGAGGCAGGGGCTGAGCCAGACCCTCTTGACCCCTCCTGCAGTCCCGGTCCTTAGTGCCTGGGCCAGGGTCTCTCACGGCCCCTTCCCCAGAGCCCAGGAGGTGGTATGCCTGGGGTTTGCCGACGAGGCTGGGGCAGGATGGAGGCCCAGGTGAAGATGGGCTGGTGTTCAAGGGGGGACTGCTACCAGTCACAGGAGGGTCTGAGAGGCAGAGTGGGGCCGAGGTGCCATATGGTGTTAAGTGCAAGAGCTGATCAGTGCGGGGGTCCCAGGATGACTATGTGCCCAGCCCTGTCCTGTTTCTGCATAAAACACACGCACAGAAAATGTATGGTTCAGAGGTGAGGTGTCCCCAAAGCTCCTGTGAGAGACGATGTAAGGAGGGGAGAAGGCTGGGCTGTGAGCGCCTTGCCCTGATCAGCATGTTCACCTGCTGGAAGGGACCCCCTGGGTGGTAGCTGCAGGCAGGTGGGGGAGGGTGGAGAAGTGGGTCCCTGGGGGCGTGCCTTGGGGATGCACGTCTTGTCCCAGGTGAGCAGAGCTCTCTGCTTCCTTGTTGCCCCGTCCTGAGCTGCTTCTGTCCACCGCGCACTCTGCCATGATGCTCTGCATCCTCAGGCCCAGAGCAGTGGCATCTGCTGACCATGGATCTGACCTCTGAAACTGTGAACCCCAAATAAACTTTTCCCCCTCTAAAACTGCACTTGTCTTTTGGTCACAGCAGCAGAAGAGTTGACTAAAACAAAAAACCAGCACAAGAGTGTCTTTGGATTTAACAAAGAAAGTTGTTGCTTCATAGCCTGGACCTGCTGGTTTTCAATCAAATCCAACATTCATGAAGGATGAATATTCACCATGAACTGAATTAATCACATGCAAAGACGACATGATGTGGCTGCTGCTGTCTTCTCCCATCGGTCCATTGACAATAGGTTTGGGTGACTTTGGGTGCTAAACCTCTTCCTCTTGATGCCCCATGGCCTGGCACAGGCTGAATGCTCTTGAGAATGCCACTCTGGTTCTGCCCTGGGTGCAGCTCTGCAGCACCAGAGCTGGCGTGCAGGTGCTCTCTGAGTGACAGTGCATTGGCTCCCGGGGTGTACAGTGACTGGCAGCCTTGGAGAGAAGGTGAGAAGCAACAGGAAGAGCTCAGGCCTGACCTGGGGCCCCAGCCTGCAGGTACTGCACGTCTCCACCTTGGAGGGTGCAGGACAGGAGGAGGACAGTGTGGAGCTCTGCTGCTCTGTGGGCCGAGAAGTACCCTCCTGTCCTCTAGAGAGGGACCTGCCAGCACTGGCAGACTTCGGGTGTTGGGTGACCCTCTTTCTAGCCAACCCTACAGCTCCCTTGTCCAGCAGATGAGTGCCCCACTCCCCACTCTGCACTCGCATGCCTCTGTGCAGCTGGGAGATGGACAGGCTGGAGCCAAGGAAGAGGGGTACTGGGGAGGCTGCCTGTGGACACGCTGAGATCTGGGCACAGTGAGGAGGGGCAGGACTGCCCCCCCCGGGAAGAACGCTGTCTCTCCGCCATGCAGCCCTTCATGTGTACGCCCTGGGAGACTCACGTTCCTCTGGGAGCTCAGGGGTCCCTCTTGCAAGGTAGCTCCCCTGGAGGCCATTGTGGCTGTGGGAGAGGGATGTATTCATGGAGCTCTCTTGTTCTACAATGCGAATGAGGGTCCAGCACCTTCACATTCTGGGTGCTTATTTCTAAAGGTCTCTGGGTTTTCCTAGAAGGAAAATCACAACACCTGCAAGTAAAGGAGTGGCTTCCTTTTGATTCTGGAAGACTGCTGACTAGCTGTCTCATGGGGCCCACTGGGTGTCCACATGGCTGCAGTGGACTACTCACAGGAGCCAGCAGCCTAAATCAGTCCACTAACACCAAAGGTTTGAGGTGGACTTTTGTCAAAGGCCTCCTCACTGTGTATTTGAGATCCAGTAGATCCTGTTGCCTTGTGAAGACAGCAACTGTCTTCTGATGCCACAGCACCCTCCATGTCCAGGCTGCCCCAGGTCACCCTCCATCTCCAGATGTCCCATCACCTTCCATCTCTGGTATCCTAGAAACCTGCAGCTCCCTCCATCTCCAGGATGCACCAGGTCACCTTCCATCTCCAGATGCCCCAGCTCCCTCCATCTCCAGATGCCCCAGCACTCTCCATCTCCAGATGTCCTATCACCTTCCATCTCTGGTATCCTAGAAACCTGCAG